AACGGCGATGACAATGATAAGGACTTCAAGGAGGTGGAGGAGGACCAGAAGCATGAAGGTAGGGGAAGCGGTCAAAAAAAGAAGATAACAGAAATCATTCTGGTTGGGAATATGGAACTCAACACCTTAATCCTTCCTCTCCATGTCCTCCTATTGGGATCTTGGAACTCAACACCCTGAGGTAACTCGAGTTTGTAATCCTTTACTACAGCGCATGGAACGTGCTGCAAGGTGCAGCGCGCGGAAATTTATCTTGGGGTGTACGTGCTGCAAGTTGCAGCACATTTCGTGCACTGTACTAAAGGATTTCGAACTCGAGTTCCTCAGGGATCCCAAAGTCTGCAAAGCAGAAGAATAGACAAGTTACTCGATTGAAAGGTGCCAGTGCCTTCGGCAATAAAAGGAATTGGGACTATCTCTAACGATGTGTTTGTTTCACGGAAAATGTACTATTTCTGGAAAATACTTTTTAGGAAGTCATTTTCCAAGAGAATGAGTTCATTTTTCGGTGTTTGGCTAAAACCTAAAAAGGACTTGGAAAGTATTTTCAGTTGTTTGGTGAGAAAAATCTTATGGTGAAAATTATTGAAATTTTTTGTATTTTTAAAATTATTTATTATTTTTAAATTATTTTTATTAAGGAAGGAAAATACGTGAATGTTTTCCTCAAGAAAAGAAAAGAAAAAATATTAACAAATTCAACATGAGCAATTTCGAAAAGTGTTTTTACCTTCTTAGATTAGGTAATTCACTTTCATAATTTTATACATGAATGTTTTCCTTGACCGGAAAGTGTTTTCAGTTGACTTACCATTTTCGACGAACTAAACAGGTGGAAGTTCGGAAAATGGATTTCCGGAAAACACTTTTCATCAAACAAACGCACCCTAAGTCTGCAACGCTTGTTGATTGTGTATGCTTATGAACTTATCTCATTCTTTATCTATACCTTATAGGAACCTATTGGCCTAGATGTATACAAATAGAGAACAAATAGATACAGTCCATATGCACTGGATGAACAGATAAACAGAAGTTACTTTACATTGCTTAGCAATGAGAACAAAAGATGTACGTGCCACTTTCCTGAGAATTTTACCATATGGATCAGAAATGTTTTAAGCTGTTCCTAGTACTGCAGCATACAAAACAAGCATGGCAGGAGATGCGCGAAATGCTTAATGACGGCGTAGAGATTGGAATGTATTGAATCCATAAAGAATCAAAAGCGCTACTACAATATCGAAAAAAGCTGCAAACAAAAGAAATCGCAGCATTACCATGAAAATCTTGAATTACTAAACATTCAAAACTGGTAGTTGCAAATTACATTATAAGATACCAAAATGCTATAATTCTTTGGTATCTCATTTGCTTCTGCATCTTATTATGACTATAGAGTGAAAACCATCGTGAACTGCGCTACATCATTAGATTGGTCTTCATTGGTGGATCACTTAACATGTAGAAGCAATACGTGGAGTAAATTCCAATATAGCAGTAAGAAGGTAACCACAATAAACGCCAGTCAAGCTTAAACTGAGATAACAGGTCCCATTGAACAATTCAAAAAGCCACACATTCTGGTCGCATTCAACAGTTCAAAAAGCTGCAGTCGAATAGCACAGATGCAGAGAGCGATACCTGCGTGAGAAGGAGAGAGGCTTGGAGTTAATTGCCGTCGCCGTCTCCATTGTTGCTGCTTGATCTGCCACCGAGACTCCCTCTGGACGAGCCTTCACACGAACTCGCAACCGTCAAATCGTGATGGGCGTCGAACTCTAACTCGCGAGGGGACCCAAATCAGTGCCTCGTCGTGCAATTAGTTTGACTGGAAAAAAAGGTCCTTTTGCCGGCATCGAGAACTGTAGTGACCATTTGGAGACTTGGGAATCGGGTCGCGACACTTGTTTTCCGGGATTAAGCAGGATTAATTCCGACGCATTTTCTCCGTTGCCTTCTTCTGCATCCAATTCGTTATTACATTTTTTGTTTGGTACATGTCATTATGAGATAATCTAATTCTATTTTCAAGTGTCAGATGATTTTCATACTTCGACTCATTTGCTCTGGCTTGAACAGTTTGCCTTTTTAAGTGCAGGTAGAAAACTCCTGCTCTTATTTCCTCCATGAACTTACATACAGCCTAAACCTGTAATTGATCCAGGAACTTATGACCCAGAAGAATAAAACAGCCATTTCTAAAGGGGCCAATACAAGTCGCGTATCATCCAGTACGCAGTGAATGCAGAATGTAATTCGATCACAACCGCATAATGCTACAGCAATCGAATGTCAATCCAATAGTAGTGCGGTCACGTTACAGCAAGTTGGATTTAGAGAAGGATTTTGGTCATAAACACCGCTATTAGTCGCCATCTATGCTCTCCTTGGACATCGTACATGGTGACCCTAGAATTGTTCAACTGGCATACTATCTCCACATCCTTCTCCATTGCATTGACTTTGTTCCTCCTGCTCTGCAATTTGTTTATCTAGTTTGGCAAGTGAAAGGTCCCCTGTTACCACTGTTCCCTCCTGTTGGACCTGACAAATGATAGATAGTCAGAATCCGCAACGAATGATCAGACAAAATTCCTTACCTATTGAATTTATCAGACCAATAAAAAGTATCGAAGTGGTTCTTCTGTTGAAGAGGCACATATCAGTTTCTAAGCGTAGTCATACTGTTGACACTACCCAATGAATATGAGCTGTTTCGACTAATGTGGAAGCACGAACAAACTAAATTTGAGCCTGAAATAAATTGCATAACAAAAACCGGAACACAGTGACCTTCATGGGACAGTGATCAATGAGATGGTTCCACTGTAATCGGCAAAGAGAAGATTACAATCCCTCGAAACTTGAAAAGCTCACACTCAAGTTTCTTAATTCTAGATTAAACCCAAACTCACTAGAATCAATCGCAAGAAATGAATTTTCTAACACTCACATATTAAGCATACTAAAAGAGAAATAAGTTCAGAGCATCGGTAAATTATGCAAGTAAAACTTGGAAATTAAGTTAATTACAAATTAATAATTTGCATACTATTAATTTCACAAGAGTGTTGGTAAATGTCATAGATAATTAAGACACTTGTTTGATCTCCATATCTCTCATGATTGTCTAGGTTATTCTCTATATTTTCTTTTGATTGTGCATATCCTAAATTGATTATCATCTTACTAACTTACATAATCATCTAGTAGTGCCTCGTGTACTTCTCATTATGAGATTTACAGCTCTTCTGCATATCTCATAATGGGCCTATTCATACATTTTATTAGATAATTATCTAAGGTAACAATAACCAATTAGGATCAATTATGGACAATCACAAGAAAATATGAAGAGTCTCCTAGATATTTACACAATCACAAGAGATATACAGAATCAAGATAAATATCCTTAATGTCTATAATATCTCCTCAGAGTAGTTTGGAGAAAAAATCGAAAAAAAAAAAACACTGACGGACCGCCAATGCGATTCGGTGTGCTAAAGAGAGTTGACATATGTGGAAAGGTATGCATGAGTGCACTCAAAATAAGAATATGTGGAAGAGAGAAATTCGTTATTTCTGAATATCTCGTAATAAATAGTACATTAGCCTATTTATAGGCGTTGCTAGATGATTATACAAGGTAATAAAATAATCAATTAGGATCAATCAAGTACATGCATAATCAAATGGAGAATCTCCTAGATATATACATAATCATGAAAGAGATGGAGAATTAAGGAAAATATCCTAATTATTTCTAACAATAAATATGGTTACGAGCAAGTTACCTTGAAAAATAATCCCTCGTCATTTTTTTTATCAATAATTTTTTACATTTACTAACACATTTTGAAATTGACCAGCACGGTGAACAATCCACATTTTTTTGGCGCCGAACAGTAGAATTCCATGTCCTTTTGTTGCTCTCTATAGTGAAATGAACCTTATCTAATGTATTGTAATGAATAAAAAGTCTACATGTGGACTATAACAAACAATGAATGACCCGATTAATTTTCGGCTGGTAAAAAGAGAGATTTATGCACCATTTAATTGGGCTTGAGAAAGGTACCTATTTTTTTCCCCTAAAAAAATTTTGAAAATGGAAATCATAAGTATCTCAAGTTTTAGTAATTATAAGAATACTATAAAAGACTTCATACGTTAACAATTGAGGGATTTGACATTTGATAAAATTTAAATTTCAAACACACTGAAAAAAGAAATAAACAAAAAATTAGGAAGAAAAATTACTTTAAAATACACCCTTATATAGGAAATCCATTACTTAAGCTAAAAAGAAATGATTTCAAAGACGAAATTAAATGGGTGTGGATTCATGTCATATAATTACATAGATCATCTTACAAACGACATCGTATGTTAGAATAATACTCAAGAAGACCATCATACCTCTATTCCTTAGAGACAAAACATTTCTTTCTGGGTTTTGTTAGCATAACAGTCTTTGAGCTAATAGCATATTGCGAGTCACAAATTTTTGAAGGAATTGACCCTGTAACAATTTATAATCATTTGTTATTTTTTTTTTGGTCTAGAACAAACTGTTGTTCTAATAGTAAATTAAAGACCGTCATCCAATCATTTCCTTTTCTTTTATATGTCAAGATTTCGCATACATTGACAGCTCAATCTATGAGTCTATTAAGGCTGCATTTGGTGGAATCGTATAAAATACATCAAGCAAGATCATTATACTATTCGATTCTCTGTGACGGCCGATCGATATGTACAACCAATATATGAATTGGACAAGGAGATACATAAAATAAAGAGTGAGCATATAAGAGGACCGGTATAATCTCTCCTATCGCGTCGAAAAAGAAAAGAGGAAATAGAAAAAGGGAAACTTGATAAAAAAGTTTCGATATTGAAGAGGTCAGCGTTTGCCATTCTCACCATTGCAGTGCATGCCATTGTTGTTAAAGTCACAATTGTACGAAAAAAGTTAGCTAAAAGGCAATACTTGATAGTCATAAATCTTCCTTCATGTATTTTTTCGTAGTACAGTTAATGTACTTCACAAGCCGAGGTAAGCAAAAGGAAAAAAAAACTAAAGACTCATTGAAACTAAAGACTAGAGCCACAATGCGCCGGCGTCCTTGAGCATTCGCTTGAGCGAGCCACTGAGATGGTAGGTCATGACGGTGTTGGCCGACCCGACGAACTTCCCCCCGATGAAGACGGCGGGGACGGCAGGGCTGCAGCCGAGCCGGGCCAGGGCCCGCTCCATCTCCTTCCCTCTCGAGTCCTCGTCGAGCTCGTAGATGGCCGGGCTCACGCCGAGCTCGTAGAACAGGCTCTTCACCGCATGGCACATGCAGCACGTGCTCTTGCTGAATATCACCACCGCCTTCTGCGACGCCAACTTCGACACCCTATCCATCAAATTATACACTAAACAAGACGACGACGACGAAGAACGACAAGATCAAGAAAGACGATGAGTTACACAAGTCAACTACGGAAACTTTTCGAGTTGTTTTTGTATCTGGTAGCTGATGTATGCTTGTGACTTTGTGATGAAGAATGGAGCTGAATGGTCCTGTATATATAGGGGGAAGGTGGTGAATCAAAGTGATCACTAGGGTTTGTATTGTGGGTACGAGCATTTCCTTTTTCCTCTTCTCTACTTTTGATTTGATAAGTTAAATTATAAAGGGGGCATGGAAACGGTGGTGCAAGTTCTTTTAAGTTGATGTGAATATGATGATGTAATGTAAAGTATGAAATGCTATGGAGTTGATTAGGACGTGTATGGCTTGCTCGCAACAATTCAATACCATTTGCGCTGGGAATCTGCACGGCTAGAGAGATAAGACAAAAGCGCGCTGCCGAAAGTGAATTTTGGGGGATCGAGGGGGAAAAAAGGTCATATGAGCAATTTTAGAAACAGTAATATGTAATATCGATTTACAAGATGACGTGACAAAATGCTAGTGCGTATTTAACGTGTTGAGCCCTATTTATGCATCAAACAAGAATTTAATTCATTACTTAATAAATTATGTTATAGATGTATCGTCTTAATGTCTCTGGGATTATTCCAAAGTCATGTACAGGACGGGTATCGATTTTTTTTTAGTTTACCTATAATTGGCTTTAGGATGGAGGTTCTCGTGGCATATTTGATTAGGTGGCTTCTTGCGAAAGGACATAAGATGGGAGAATGTCAACTAGGGATACGACATGAGAGAAGAGATGGCAATAGAGGGAGCATCTGAATAAGTGTCGTTGATGCATTACACCGCATGATATGCTATGAAAGAATACGTCATAAAAGATAGGTACAATACAAATGTGATGCTCAATACATGACCGATATAACTCGGGTTTGAGATGCGAAATATCTGTAATGTTATTCTCCAACATCGAGAGTTCTTGGTGTCTGTTCGGTATAGTTGTGACTATGTAGCGCTGTGGCTATGCTATGAGATATTGTGACTTGTTTATCTACTAGCAGATATTTCAAAGGTGCGGCACCTCAAAACTAGGTGAGGCAGCTTCTCAAAAGTTATTGTAAGTTGTCGCCACAATTGTGAGGTGTTGTTGTGGTAATGTGCTTGCCTGACACCTTGTAAAACTTGCAGCACCTCTTTTCTAAGCTATAACTGTGACGGAAACTGCACAAGCACTTAAAAAATTGTGATATCCTAAAGTCCTACATTGATTGCGAAAAGGCCCATTTAAATAATTCATAAATAAGAGACATTCTTCTACGGTCTCTACCTTATGGCCAAGACATTTTGAAAACTCCTCTCGAGTGTTTAGTCCACATAGACCTAATTAGACCGTAAGATTCGATCTCTAAGATCACGTAACAATCAAGAGTGATGTATATTCGAGGAAGTCTCCTCTGATCATATATGGACGACAACATGTCATTTGAACATGCCTTAACCTCAGATATCGAATGTATATTAGCCTCTACAAAGGCTAATAGCCTAGGAAATTCCTCTGCTTGATAGTGACTAAAGTTTTCAAAAGGTATACATTAAATTATTTCATTACAGCTTCTTCATTTCCATATTATTATTATATATGCCAACAATAGTATTTCCAGAATTTGATCCCTAAAAAGGTAAGAAGACACGCTTAAACAAGGCCTCCAATTTCGAAAAGTGGAACCGCCTTATAAAACCCCAAGGGTCAAGCTTTTCTTGAACACTCAACCAACCATTTATTTATTGAAGCAAAACCCTAAAGAAATGGCAGTTCAATGCATCGCAGATCAAATCAAACGATGGGCCGCAGTTCTTAGTATCACTTTATAGCATCAGAACCAGATTGATATCTGCACAAACCAAAAGGCGAAAACAACATATATGAACAGAAGCCAGCCCGAGAATAAGGGTTTTTGCCTAGTGTTGAAGCGATTAGCCTATCATTAGTGGTGGGATTCTAATCATTTAAACTAACAAAAAACAAAGGCGATGTGACTTAAGATTCACGCACGTGTTAATCGTCAGTGAATGGAGAGTGGCATTGTGCTTACAACCTTCTTTAACCTAGATGCCAGAAACACCGAGAACAACCAGAACCTCAACTAATTCCCCGCAAAAATCTTTGCGAATAGAACAAATCAATCCGATCGACATATAGACAGAACAATATATTGATATCTGGCCATGAAACTGTTTATGTGCTATGAGATCAGATAGAGAGATGATGGGTATAAATGAAAATGCCATCTTGGCGTGTGCCCATGATGTTTTGTCTGATAACATGGGGAATTTTGGCACTTCGACTTTTGGAGAGGGGGGGCTTTGGATGGCTGGGTATCTACAAAAGCTGAGACAGCAACCCCAAAAGGATGAGATGTGTGGCTAATGGGTATGATGCACATTGTTCCTCTCCCTCCACCTTTTCTGCCTTTAAGCAAGAATCCTATAAAGATTTGTGGGTTGAGAGAGAGAGAGAGAGAAAGAGAGAGAGCGCCATGTACTTTATTGATGGAACATGAACCCCAAGCTGTGCCCTAATCCGTGTGATGCCACGAACCGCCTTCGCATTCTTATTCTTTTGCCTTTTTATCCCGTTAGGTCACGACAAATGTGGCGTTCTGTTTTCGCACGAGACCTTATCCTTTTCATTTATGCTGTGTTGCATTCAATCTACATCAAGAACTCGTGTTTCTTTTTTATGCGCGACGAAAACCCTTATGGTCATACACCCGGAAAGAAAAGGTCGACCCGATAGATTTAGCTTAGCGGTTAAGGCACGAAATTGCGGGGTTCGATTTCCCACGTCATTAAACACAAAAGTTTGATATTAATATGGGTCATCCACACTACTTTAGCTCGAGTCTTACAAAACCATAAAGGTCGGTGCGGTATTTTATGGCATTAGAATTTGCCTACCTCAACTTGTGTTTCTTCAAAATGACTGGAGAACGAACTTACTGTTTAGGTAGGAGGAATGACCGAATGATGGAATGAAAAATGCTCATTCAAAACTTCGCTTCAACGAGTCAGTGTTGTTGAGAATAATGTTGGCTCAATTCATCACCCCCAAGTGAAGTGAATCCTCATCGATCTCCCTACCAAATCACGTGGAAGTGAGCTCTCAACTAGATTCAATATGGGATAAGTGCACTACAAGTCCTAAAACTTGTCATGAAAGTCCAATTAATTCCTAAAACTTTCTAAAAGTGCACTCAAGTCCTAAAACTTGTCACGAAAGTGTAATCGAGTTCTAAAACTTTAAAAAAGTGCAATTGAATCCTAAAACTTTCAAAAAATGACTTGATTAGACCAATTTGATCAATTTTGGGACTTGATTGCACTTTTTGAAAGTTTTAGAATTCAATTGCATTTCGTGACAAGTTTTAAGACTTAGTTGCACTTTTTGAAAGTTTTAGGATTTAATTGCACTTTCGTGATAAGTTTTAAGATTTGCAATATACTTATCCCATTCAATATTATGTGTGAAATTTCTAGGCACAAAGGTTGGGCCCAGATATGGTTGGCCCAAGATCTGGCCTAGAAGACCATCGGCCAAGTTATGTAGCCCATTAAGCTATTAAATGTTATGTAAATGCAAAGAATCACCATGAACTCTTTCCTTACCTACTTTTTTCACCAAAACCTTGCGTTTTACATCGTGAGGTTTTAGATTTCTACACTTCACTTCACATTTTGGAACAGACAGTAGGATAAACATTGGAAAATTTTTTAGAAAAAACTGCTGTTTACGAATTGTAAGTTCTTGTTTTTCTATATCGAGATAGAAAGGCTTAGTGTTTTAAGATTACATGGTGCAAAGTGCAATTTCGAACTGGTGATGATGGTTATTTTACGCTATGTTTCAATAAAATATCTTCGAAATATACACATAAAAATTTGGACTTTGGTTGAGAAAAATACTTGCTTGTCCAGAAGCATTTCTTTACCGAGAAAAATAGACATGCATGTACTATTCCATCAAGAAAAACTCTGGCCACATTTTGCGTGAACACACTTTCTAAAAAGACATATTACACATCAATTCACAACATTCTTCGCTCAGAATAAGTTTAGGGCCGCGCCCACCATCCCATTTTAGAAGCCATGTCGAATAGAAGTAAGTTCAGTAAGCTTCAACCAATATATTGTGACCAAACACTCAAGATTCTATTATAACAAAGATCATTGTTGGTACTATCTTGCATGATTTTAAATTTGAGTGTAAGTATTGTTGACGTTCTAAAGAACTAGTTCCCCATGCACAAAAAAAAGAGCATATGGGCAAATACATCTGGTCTGCCCATCTATGTAAAGAATCAAGATTCGACCTTGTGACGACGCATGAAAAAAGTGGGAAATAAAAGTTGAGCATCTTTTTCGCGTCGACCTGATTTTTCACGAGGGAATACATTAGTATGTGATCTTGACCTTTCATGAACGTTATCCCATTGAAACGTGTGGATGAAATGCAAATCTTTCTTTCTTTTACCTTTTTGTTCTTTCCTTTAACAGATGAGAAAAGCACTTTATATGACCATCCTATAAAATAAGGATAAGATCCTTGAGAGAGAGAGAGAGAGAGAGAGAGAGAGAGAGAGAGAGAGAGAGAGAGAGAGAGAGAGAGAGAGAGAGAGAGAGAGAGAGAGAGAGAGAGAGAGAGAGAGAGAGAGAGAGAGAGAGAGAGAGAGAGAGAGAGAGAGAGCATCTCGGCCATCGAATTCAATATGATGATGTTACTTCTAAATTGTCAATTTATATCATAATCAATCTAGATGACCCAAATCCTTTATGAAAAACCCCACAACATTTTCTTGTTAAAATTGGAAAACCCAAAAGCTATTTTCACTTTTCCATCAAAATAAAACAAGTAACCTTATTTTCAAAAAAACGCAAAAGCATTCTGAATGCATTAGATAAATATGAATATGGATATTCATATATGCATAAAGATGTGAAAAGTTAAATATCAAATTAGAATCAAAACTTATTCAAATAATTATATATTATAGGAAAAATTGCAAAAATCATGTTCTAAACAACTTCATATTAGATACCATAGTCACGTACCATAGTCATGTTTCAAAACCTACAATTCATCCTCATTTTTTACAATTGAATTCAAGTTGCATCTCTCACCCGCATATAGTTTACCAAATTGCCGTTTTATCTCCCAAATTACCCCCACACTGAAAAAATCCCACTCACCCACATTCTCTCTCTCTCGCCACTCGAGAGGTTTGCTCAATCCAACACACCACTACCATGTCTCCCCTTCTCCACTATGCATGCCTATGTTACACCTTCGGAGGCCGTCAACGGTAGTCAAAGATAGCCCCGCCAACTCAAGGCCAAAATGAGGTCGAACGACCTTGATTTAGCAGCCATGGCCGAGCTCTGCTACATAGTTTGAGGGGCTCGTGTGCTTGTCACAGAAACTCATGGCTCAACTTGACCCTTGTGAGCTCGAGGTCGACCTTGCACAGCCTTGACGACTGCGAACCGCAAGCTTAGGCCGAGCTCATGTGGCCTTGCTATTGCAAGCCTAGAACGATCTCGCCATAGACAGTTTTAGGAATGTCGGGAGAGGGACGTGGGAGGCGGGCAAAGGCGAGGGCATTGTCGTTGGCATCATGCTGTGGCGTCGAGCAGCAGCTCAATGCTGTGGGGGTGGTTCTCAATCGTTCCTTTGCTAGCTGCTGGGTGTGAGGAGAAAGAAAGGGCAGAGACGAGAGTGACAAAGAGATTTTGTGTAAATTTTGGGCATGCATGAGGGCAAAAAATTCGTTTTAGGTTAGGGATATGCAAAATGTAGGTTTTGAAATAGTAGGAGGGCATTTGATATAGAGAGCAAAGTTGAGGAGACATGTAAAATGTAGGTTTTGAAATGTCAGAAGGGCATTTGATATAAAGAGCTGCAGTTACCCCTAACTAAAAGTCATTTTAAACGTCTTCAGTTTTCTTGGCTATAACTCTTGCGACTCATATATGTTGATGATTGGGAAAATAACCACAAAAGTTCTAAATCCATTGCACTTGTGCTAATTCAGTCCTAAATCTTTCAATTTAGCCAATTTAGTCTTAAATCTTTCAATTTGGCCAATTTAGTCCTAAGCCTTTTAACACTTTGTCAATATAATCCATCTTACCAATTTTAGTCGAAAATTGATGACGTGGACGCCGGTCATCTTCTATGACACAACCGATGCTTGCATGGGAACTAATTTTTTTGAATGCTTGTGGCTTGTAGGGGTCACTAGGCCTAGACTGATGGCCAGTAGCCCCCTACATGCCTTAACAATAAAGAAAAAAAAGAAAAGAAAAGAAAAGAAAAGAAAAGAAAAAATTAATAGAAAAATTCAAAAAAATTCAATTTTTTTTAATTTTAAAATTTTCTAGGTCAGTGTCGTTTGTATCATGTAGGACAGCCGAAGTCCATGTCATCAATTTCTGGCCAAAATTGGCCGGATGAACTACATTAACAAATTGTTAAAATGTTTAGGACTAAACTGGTCAAATTGAAAGATTTAGGACTAAATTGGTATGAGTGCAATAGATTTAAACTTTTTTTCGTAATTTTCCTGTTGATGATCATATACGCACCATGCCGTATTGAGGAGTCAAAATCCAATGTATAAAGAAAGCAAAACAAAGCACATATTCAACAATAGAAGTAAAAGAAGATAAAATTGGGGACCTCACGACATCCGCCTCCTTTTTCAATTTGGACTCCTCTTTTTAGTGACGCCAGGTGCCAAAAGTTCTCTGTCTTCACTCGATAGAAAAAAGCGAAAAAAAAGACGAAAAACTATTATGTACAAACTCTAATATTAATATGTTAAAAATTAAAACAGATAGACTCAATATAAATATCTGAATAAACCAGTATACTAATTTCTAAGGAAGAAATACTTTTTTTCCATGCATGGTGTGGCAAAACCGAGCTTCTCGTCGTCCTCAGATTGCCAATTATTCCTTTTCTTTTTCGTGAAATAGATATTAGTATCTATTTTTTTAAATATCCCACAAAAGAAAAATCATTTCACTAACGTTTCTTTTCGCAAATTCTTTTTCGGGAATAGAATAAAAGAATCTTGTGCATTTCGGTCCCAAGTGGATGAGTCCCATTTTCCCCTTCTCCAACTCAGCAGATGCCTCCGAGATAGATACATTGCAAGAAAAAGCCCCATTAACATGGATAATAATTGTACTAGAGAAAAGATTTGTTACGTACACCTTTTTGCTCTCAAGATCTCTCTTTATATATGCCACTTGCAATTGCAAATCGGTACTTATATAATTTTTCATCTCGATGTTCAAATAACGATAATAATAATAATAATAATAATAATAATAATAATAACGATAATAGTAAGAAATCTTTTGAATTTGAATAACCGCGGGTTAGAGTTTTATTACGGTGATAAGCAAGTTACTTAATAGTTTGTTCAATCTTACCACTCCATTTCTTATCATGTTAAGATTACATTTGACTCTAATGGGTTCGTGAATAAAAAATCCAAATACAAACATAAGTTACCCCTTCATTATTCCGCAGAAGTTCAATAAAAATTTGAAGAAATTACACTAAACTCTAAAATTGAACATAAGTGGAAGAAATAAAAATTGTTATGCATTTGAGTCTAGAGAATAGGTTGTCCATTAAAATAGGACCAATAGTATGCATAAAAATATGGGTTTTATCTTATAAAAATAGTCAACAATACAAGCAATCTTGCTTGAAGATAAAAGTTGCATATTTAATATATATTACTTAAACTTTTGCTCGTCGGTGTTAGTGATTATGTGTAATCTCAGGTTACATCATATCTCTAATTGATTAACTCTACGGATATATGTATCAACTTAAGATAGTAATGTTAAATTATAACTATTTGGAGAAACTATGAATATATATTATATGTATAGCCTTATATTCCTGGCCACTTTGTCCTTCGTTGTAATGTAAAGTTTGTACCAAGCACATACTTATTTCTCTATGTGAACTAAGAATACTAACCTAAGTAGATACATATAACCATAGATATAATCAATCAGAGATATCGCACAAAAAGAGATTACCCATAACCTCAGACGCCGGGATAGTATCCATGCACAAAACGAGGGAAAAGTGCCAAAAAAGTCCTAAACCTTTTGCATTATTGCCAATTTAGTCCTAAACCTTTTTTTCCACTTTTTTTTTTGGTTCCCCCCTCCTTCCTCTGGCCGGTCGCCGGTCCGGCGACCGGCCAGAGGCCAGAGGCCGGCGAGCTCGACCTCGCCGGCCACTGGGGAGGGCGGCCTCGCCGGGCGAGGGCGAGCCTCGCCATGGTCGGGCGAGGCCCGACCTCGCCGGATCTGGCGAGGTCGAGCCTCGCCCAGCCGCCGGCGAGGCCCGACCTCGCCAGATCCGGCGAGGTCGGGCCTCGCCCGACCATGGCGAGGCTTGAGCCCTCGCCAGAGGCCGCGGCGAGGGCGAGCCTCGCCATGGTCGGGCGAGGCCCGACCTCGCCGGATCTGGCGAGGTCGGGCCTCGCCGGCGGCTGGGCGAGGCTCGCCCTCGCCGAGGCCTCCGGCGAGGGCTCGAGCCTCGCCACTTCGCCCGACCTCGCCCAGCCGCCGGCGAGCCCGGCCTCGCCAGATCCGGCGAGGTCGGGCCTCCCCGACCATGGCGAGGCTCGCCCTCGCCGCGGCCTCCGGCGAGGGCTCGAGCCTCGCCATGGTCGGGGAGGCCCGACCTCGCCGGATCTGGCGAGGTCGAGCCTCGCCCGACCAAGGCAAGGCTCGCCCTCGCCGGGCGAGGCCGCCGCCCTCGCCAGTGGCCGGCGAGGTCGAGCTCGCCGGCCTCTGGCCTCTGGCCGGTCGCCGGACCGGCGACCGGCCAGAGGAAGGAGGGAGAGCCAAAAAAAAGTGGAAAAAAAAGAAAAAAAAGGAAAAAAATAAAAATTCAAAAAAATATTAAAATATTATTTAATTTGTCCACGTCGCGCCACGCGTCAGGCGCCGGTGACCGGTCGCCGGCATCCACGTAGAAATCGGCAAAATCACAAGGACTAAATTGCACAAAAACAAAAGGCTAGGATCAACAGACCAATTTAAAAGGTTTAGGACTTAATTACCAAAAAGGTTAGTAATTAAACGCACAACCAAAGTTAGATCGAATTGGCACCAAAAAAGGTTTAGGACCGAATTGGACTAATGCAAAAGGCTAGGACTTTTGGCACTTTTCCCACAAAACGAAGGCCCGAAAATTATTGCACCCTTCATTAGTGCAATGATAAAAAAAAAAAAAAAAAGGATAGTGAAGAAACACAATGTGAAGCAAGCAATATGACGAGAACAAGAAACGGTAAGCCGTACAAAGGACATGCCGGTAGCTTTTCCGTAAGAAAAGAATCGTCATCGTGCAGCACTTACTTTATCTCTATTCGCAACATGAAAATCGTTGTCAAAAATGATCATACGATATATGGCAATATCTAGAAGAACATTCTCATTCTCGTTCATCTGTCAAGCCCTTTTTTCCTAGCCAAGCCAATCCAATCCAGTCCAAATCCTTTACCCACCTCAAACCCAATATAAATAAGCTCCCAATGATCAACGAAAACTCATCAAAACTCAATCATCATCCCTCACAAGCTCAAGAATTTGCTCTCTGTCTCTCTCCCTCTCTCCCTCTCATTTTCCTTTACGTGCGCAGCCTCGCATTCATCGTTGGGGAGTCGAATTCTCTTCACGTTTTGCCTTCCATTGTCGAGATAGTAAGGATTATCGATTTCAAGTCGTTCTGACGTATTTTAGCATCACTGGCTTGTGCTTTTGCCAATGGATAGAATCAATAGAATGGTGTCGGAGAGGCCGGTGGTGATCTTCAGCAGGAGCTCGTGCTGCATGTGCCACACTGTCAAGATGCTCTTAAGCGAGTTCGGGGCCAACCCGGTGGTTCACGAGCTGGACGAGATCCCCAGGGGGAGGGAGATTGAGCAGGCCCTCTCGAGGCTGGGCCGCAGCCCACCCGTGCCCGCCGTGTTCATCGGCGGCGAGCTGGTGGGGGGAACCAATGAGGTCATGAGCCTCCACCTCAACCAGTCCTTGGTCCCGAGGCTTAGACAAGCCGGAGCAATTTGGGTCTGATCAACTTAATCAACTGCGCGGAGGTTGCTAATAAGTGTGATATCGAGCCACACAAGTTTTGAGGACTGTTACCTATCGAATGCTGTACTAGTAGGGCTACGACTTTTTATCTTCGCTATGTACTCACTTTCAAATGGTCTAATCCTATCACTGTGATAGTTTTTCTTTCTAAGTATTGATCGATGGAAGCACTGAGTTTGAGAATTTAATTTGTCTTCGTGGCCATCGTGGGGTTGTTATCTACTAGATGATTGAAGTATACATAATAAAATCTTTTGCGACAAAAAGTAAGTATATATGTGAAGAAATTCAAATGGCCGAAAGAAAATTAAGATGCATCTTTCTAGCTAGGAAATGAAACGACTGATAATAAAAGGTAGAAACCTAGAATTTTAAGTGAAGTACTAGAGGGATATGTGTGCATTTGGTGTGTCTAATTAAAATGCCACATAGATGGAAGACGACTTGTCTCGATTCATAAACAAGCGTACCAAGAATCATTGCCATCGAGCCGAGCACAACACTGTCTCAAAGCTGCTTGTCTATCTGTCTGCAACCCGACTTAGCTCTAGCTAGCTCGATTACATTGGTGGGTTTTTCCAACGGCATCGAACGCCAAACTTGTGCTTCGCGGCGACGGCGATGGCCTTTGTGGTGGTGGTGGTTGGCTGTAACAGCGACTACACTGTGGATTGTGGTTACTGGCAAGGTCATTGGGGGCGACGATGGAGATGAGAGAGAAGGGGGAAGATGTATTGGGCTCTGATTACGGTTTAGGATTCCTTTGGCTAGTTTATTCTTGTTTCACTTATATGTAATGATGAGACATGGATGCTCACCATATGCCCAAACTGCAGCATTCCGCTCGGCTGCAGCATTAACTCACCCTTTCTATACATCTCCAGATTCTCCACCACGATAGATCTGAGTGACCATCTTCAATATTTTGTAGTGCATGTCATGCCTAGTGATTGAATTGTTGAGCCAAAGTAGAAGAAAGAATGGTATCGCCATTTCATGCCGCCGGTCTTTCCCGATTTTTAAATGATATTGTCGTCGAGTGTTTAGGCGTAACGATTCAAACCGATAGCCCTAGTTCAAAACCATTTCGATTGTACTGTTCTCGCATTCACGAGGAGTACTTAAGAGCGCAACATCCCGACGCCAATGAACGCAAGCAAAGAATGGTATTGTTAGTCGATAAATGTTTTACCAGTGTATCAGCCAACAACAACCGTACGAGTGATGTAATAAAGATTAGGAGAACTCAAGTAAAAGGGTTTGAATAAGTTCACACCCTCTTAAAAGAATCTGTCTAAAGAATTCACGACTCTTCCTGGTCAAGACTATATGGTTTGGTTGCCATGGAGTGCAGACTAGAAGAACTCAAAGTAGAAATTAGTCGCTGCATGTGTCGGTTATGCTCCTAATGTTGTAACCATGTTGTTACAGGGTCAAGAAGGTGCAGCTTTCGGATTCGATGCAGGGCACTAGAAGTCCTATGAGGAACATAAAACGCGTCAACAATCAAAATATGATGCCAGCTTGATTTTAGATATGAATTCGTAGACAAGGATTCAAGAAACTGAGCTTATTTGTCATTTGCAGAATGAAGGTGCTGTGCCTGTTAGTGATTGTTGCATTGAAATGATTCGCAGTAGCTATACATCTGGAAGTTCTGAGAATTGGATGCTAATGCCTCGCTTCAATGTAAGATCTATAGGATTTTTACCCTTAGCTTTGTGGTGCACTTTGTTGACTAAGCTGACATGTGAAGACACTGCAGCTAACATCCATTTATATGTTCCCTTTTTTTGTTGACAACATGATAGTGGTAGGTGGAGACAGACGCAGCCTTCATGGTCCTCCGGATATGATAACGAGAGGAGCCCTAGCTCCAAAAGTTTCTCTCATGGCAATTACCAAGAGCGTTAACCATCGCATGGTAAGAAGAACAAAGCAACGAGCCATGAGCCCTTCCTTTCTTGTTTGATAATCGAGCCATAAACTCTTCAAACAATGGAGACTTACAGAGTTTGCACATCCTCGGAAGGATAATTCTAGGTGTATCATAATGAACGCCTGGAAAATCACATATTTTTAGCGAGAAATGATAGTTATATCTCTGGAATAAGATATTGGCTCACGTTATTTCCACCCCTTAAATCGCTTTAGACACACCCTATAATTTAAATTGTCCAAAATTGCCCTCTCTGAGATCTCATAAATGACAAGATAGATATGAAAGAGGAAAAGCATACATCTATGTGCATAAATCAATCTCAAGATTTTTATTCACTTTCATTAAATATTGTTTCTCCTTCTTTTTGTGTGTGAGTGTCAAATAAGACATATTCATTATTATTTTTTTACAAGAGTCCTCTAAAATTCGAGTATTCTAATGCGCTTAGTGGCTGGAATTCTATTTTAAAAGAATATTAACAAAATTATGATGGCTAGAACAATTATTTACAATCTCTCTCTAAAGTTTAATTTCTAATAACTCCCTATCATGTAAATTTTTCTGGTTCAATATCTTTTCTAAGCGGAATTCTTTGGTTAAAATTGTGAGCTCTTTATGATTATAACTTAGGTTTGGGATATGTTTATTAATAAAGGTTAGCAAGAAGGTTCAAACTTATCGCAAACAATCCTTCAATAGAGTTCACCTTAAGTACATTAGTGAGTAGAAGGGAGGAAATGGAGTTTGTTAAAAAACGATTAGAAAATAACATAATGTGGTCGAATAAAACTACATTGTTTTGATTAATACAAATAGTCTTTTCATGACAAACAACTTTTATATTTTCAATAAATAACAACTTTCATCATTTCCATTTGTGACTTTGATCAATAAATTCTCTTGAGGTTATTTCGTTAACTCAATAAATTATGTTTACAACAGTCATTTAGGGAGTGAAAATAACATAAGCCTAAGATATTTTGGGTTTTTAATAGAAAAATCATTGACTATCAATACTTGCTTATTCATAACCATATCTTCCTTGAGAAAAATAGACATACATGTACTATCCCGTCTAGAAAAACAACTCTGACCACATTTTGCGTGAAGCTGCTTTGTTAAAAAATATATGACATATCAAATCACAACATTCTTCGCTCATAATAATATTAGGGCTACACCCACCATCCCATTTTTGAAGCCTTAGGTTAAGCCTTAAGTTATCCTATCCTGTATTTGGTTCCTACTCAAGAAAAAGATAAAGTTGGATATAAGAAAGATATAACTCGGATAAAAATATTTCATGAGGGAGGTAGGATAAAGGTGGATAGGATTTCTTATATTCATAGTATAAAGGTTATTTATCTCAAAAAACAAACTTCTTAAATAAATAAAATTGAATAATAATTAAATATAAATAATATTTGAATTGTAAAATGAAATAGAAAATTAAAAATAACAGCAATTTTCGTTTCTATTTATTCACATATTTATTTATATATTTGCATTTCTTTTTTTAGGATTAATACAACAAAAAAATCCCAAACTGGTACACATGTGATAAATCTACCTCAAACTAATTTTTTCACCACAAAAACCCTAAACTGGCACACTTGTGACAAATTTACCCTCCATTAGTTTCCATTAAATTTTACCGTTAAATTGTTGAGTTAAATCAGATGTGGCAGTTGTCGAGTATACCATTTTGGGTTTTACCCTTCCGTTTGTTACATGTTTATCAACTTGTGAGTTTTCATGGTATTAATCCAATTTAACGGAGGGTGAATTTGTCACAAGAGTATCAGTTTGGGGTTTTTGGTGGTAAAAAAATTAGGTTGGGGTAAATTTATCACAAATGTACCAGTTTGGGATTTTTAGTGATCAAAAAATTAGTTTTGGGTAAATTTTTCATAGGTATATCGGTTTGGGTTTTTCATGGTATTAACCCTTCTTTTAATCCTATAATATATATTATATATTTAGTATTTATATTCATTACAAATTTTAGGTATATTAATATAGTTTATTATTTAATAAAATTTTATTTCGGAATAATGGAAGGGAATAAAAGAATAAAAAATAAATAAAATAGAGGGAAAAATAAAAAAAAATAGTAAGTAAATAAAATAGATAATGACACAAACAGTCCCTGAACTTTGGCCCAATGTGCAATGTGGTTCTTAAACTTTTAATTTGTTCAATATAGTCCCTGAACTTTAGTTTAATGTTCAATATGGTCCATGAACTTTTAATTTGTTCAATGAGATCCCGAGACTAGTGGTACATGTTCAATGTAGTCCCTGAACTATATGAAAATGTTCAATATAATCCATAAACTTGAATTAATGGAAGGATTACATTGAATATTTTTATATAGTTTATGGACTAAATTGAACATGTATAAAAAATTTAGGAATGATATTGAACAAATTAAAAGTTCAGGGACCACATTGCACATTGGGTTAAAATTCAGGGACCACATTGAACAAATTAAAAGTTTAGGAGCCACATTGCACATGGAGGCAAAGTTTAGAGACTGTTTGTGTCATTTTTCCTAAATAAAAATGAAATAGGCAAGAAAATCTGAGCATATACTTTTTGAAATCACGAAGGTGAATGATTATATTTTCTCTCTCTTACTAGATTCGTCATTTGCTAGGTGATCTACCTCGTCAACGTTGCTGTAGCCCATTTACATTTTTTGTCATAGTCGAACTGGTAGCTTTGGAATGCTACAATGAGCTTTTTGCTGTTTAAGATTTAGATCGTACAATAATCATTGATTTATTGTGGAAATATCTCTACTTGTACATTTGTGGTTTCTTTAGCAGTGGATAGTAAGAGATTCTTATCATCTCCGTTTGTGCATTTTCAAGTTCATTTACGTTGATATGCCGTTCATATAAAACATAGAACATGATAGAATATGAAAATATCCGGTTTTATTGCTGGCATTCACCAAACAATAGATAATATATAACAAAATCATTGGATTTCATATCATATTCTATCCAGTCCTATTTTGATTAGAAATTCAGGCAACCAAACGTTGCCTTACTC